TCTCATAACTGATTTGTTTGAGTTGAAAGGAATTTTTAACGTCGTGGTGGTAACCGATATTTTATCACTTTTATTAAGGATTTTTTCAAATAATACAAACGTAATAATCTTATTAAAAAAATAAAAGTGATGCTTTTGAGAAATTTAAAGAATTCCTTCTTTGAAGTGGAAAATCAATTTGGTAAAAAACAGATTAGGAATTAGAAGTGAATAGAGGCCGGGAGTATGAATCTCTGGATTCAACCTCTTTTGTTCAGTCATTAGGAATTATTCATGGGTTACTCCCACCAATCATTCACTTCATTAATGGCGTAGCTGAAGAAAAAATTAGAACGCTTAATGACTTGACGAATGCTATGCTTATTGATTCAGGTGTCCCGCTAAATTTTAGGATGATGTTATTTTGACAGCTTGCAATTTGAATAAATAGAGTGGCAACAACAAAAAGACTAAAATTGTAACCCGACATTATGAGTTATGGTGGGGGACATAAACCAAATCCTAGGTTAATTTTGTAAGGGTTTGGGGCTATTTAAGCTTTTGTGAGGCTTAATAGATCCTAAACGAACCTGAATTTAGTAACGAGCTACCACATGTGCTTTTTCTTGGGTATGATTGCATAGTACAGACTTATAGATTTTTGATATGAAAAATAATATTATTTTTAAAATCAGGTGATGCTATTTTTTTTTTCATGAAAAAAAAAAAAATAAACAAAAATTTCCCTTGTTTTCAAATGTAGAAATAGTGAGGGTCAAGTAAATTTTTGAAAAATATTTAGCCATGCCTAACTCTTCTACATCCATCTCAAGTTTTTTCAAGAACAAGAAAATTCTCAAATCTAACCAAAAGAAAAGAGTAAATGAACTAGAGTTGAAACAGAAATTTTGGCCTTGACTATTAATCGTTACAATGTAAGAAGAAATTCCTCTTACGGTGCAAGCCATTAGCTTGGGGAATTATCATCACCTGATGCTATTTTCTAGAGAGAGGCTTAATGATAAGAGAATAGATTCACTACTTTCAAATAACCATATATGGAGCTAGTGTGAGTTTAAGCAAATACCAGGCTCTGGATATAACTATAGGTGAATAAATAGGTTCTTCGTAAAAAACCATTAAACCCAAATGTGATACTATAGATTAAATATAAAGTGAACTTTGGTCGCTAAAGGTTTTAAGATAAACAAGTTGAATCTTGATTTCATTGAGATACATTTCATCGGTTACTAGAGTATACATTCCATTACATATTGATTAGATAGCAGTGGCCTGCAAAATTTTCATGAATGTTAAAAATTCATATCAAATGGATTTGTGAAAACAAACATTTTTTAAAATGGAGATCTAAATGAGAAGATTAATTTTAACAATGGACCAACCCGAGAGCTTTGTGGAGGCCTGGCCAATGAAAGTTAGGTGTCTAAACCTAACTAAATCCCTTTTAATCGTTTACAACAAACTCCTAAACAATGGCAAATCAACGAGAAATTTGATTCTGCATACTGTAAGAAATGGATATAAAAACTAATGAATGTGATAAGTGCATCATATTATAAAACTTGTGCGACGAATGCACATGCGATTTGTCCTATACCAAAATAGCAAATATCAAATATGCAGCGGAATTTAAAATGATTCAGATCATACCTTCTTGAAGTGATAGAACCTTTTCTGGATAAATCACGGTGTGGCTTTCCCAGGAAACTTCTTGATGAACCAACCCAGCAGTGGAGTGATATGCACAGAGTGTGATATATCAACCCACACAGATCTTAAGACCACAAGTGTCAAAGAACTTGATCGTTGTGAGGTGCGTTCTGTGGGAAAGAATGTAGATCAAGTGAATTAAACTTGTGGTTGATAACAGACTCAACGTTGTTTCTATAGTGGGATTACCCTTCATAAACCATTAATAATTTATCTAATATTTTAAATATATTAAATAATATCCTCACTTCCAAATATCAGTATAAATGATAACAGATAATATCTAATATATAATATATTTCTTGATTCGTGAATATCAGGATCAAAAACTGATACCGTCTGTTTCAAGAGTGGTTTATTGCCTAAATAGGTTTGATTTCAAAATCAAAACCTAATTTGGATAACAAGGACTATCAAAAATTCTCTATAATTTATTTAATGGGTCATGGCCACATGGGCCAGACGCGAATTCTACATTACTAACATCTACCTCAATCAGCCAAAAATATATAGAGATGGTAGTATGGAACTTTAGACCACCAAAATTAATAAGTTAGGTGAGTTGGCATGCCATAGCCACATCTCTTTCAAATACTCGCCAAATACTTACCGAATGTATTTTTATCTATATTTTTTTTTCTTCTATTTTTTTATTATTTTTTTTATATATTTATAATTTATTTTATTTTTATTATATATATATATTATATTATTTTTTATTTTTTTTTATCTTTTTTTTTTCATTTTATTTTTATTGCTAGAATTGCATTACTTATCACGTTATGTTTTAGTAATTTTAATATCTATTTGAACCTAGTTTATAGAACCCCAACCTACTAGTATAAGTACAAGAATAATACACCCAAACCCTAAGCTCTTGTTATACCCAAAGCATTATTGTATTTCCACAACACTAGCAGCCCTAGCAGCCGTGGGTTTATGAAGGAAAGAGAGCGGTTTTTCAATCATCAAGATTATTGTTGTAGCCAAGAAGGAGAGTTTTGGGTGTGTTATGTTGTGTGGCCTCCTATGTTTTCTTCTCTTCTTTCTTTGTTCTTTATCATAATAATATTGTTATATAATTCATTCATGGAGGTTGTAGGTTTATATATTTTGTATATATATATATACTGTTAAGAAATTTGAGGAATTAAATTCATGTATAAAGAATGGGTATTATTCTTAGTTAAAAAATTCTGCGCATAATCACGAACTTTAAAAATCAAGAAACCATATCAAACGGATGAATTTTAATCTGAAATTTTTACAGTAGATCAATTACATATTGAATTGCATATCTGATTTTTTTCATAATTTTTGGGAGTCGAAATCCATATAAATTGAGGTATTCAAATCTGTCCAAGAAACCAGTCCGAAACAGTAAATTCGGGAGTGTTGTTCTCTTTGGGTATAAATCCAAAAATTATCAAATTAGTGTCATTAGAACCGGTTACAAGTCTATTTTTTTCGTACGTTTTTGGCCTTGCATTGATTGCTCGTGTATATTAAGAGAACCGTTAATTTCTTTAAAGTGCTGCAGAAAACAACCTGTTTGGATATAATAAATTGTAGATAATTATTTTGATAAGAAAATCAATTGAAACCAATTGGGTTTGAAACTTAGGATATATTAGATCATATCTGATGGTTTTTGGAATTTTTTGAATAGCGTGGAGTGGGTTTTGTAATTTTCAAAGTTAGCGAATAGATTGGGAAAACTTGTTTAAAACACTGTTTTATCTTAAAGTTATTTTTAGTTAAGTTTTGACCGGAACCCATGTCTTGGGTGATTTTAAACCTTGAAGAACATGAACTTAGGTAATATTTAAGAGTAACGGTGAGTTGGGTTGAGCTGTGTTAGTGTGCTTTAGTTGAGGTTACTTAGTTCCTATTTTTTAGTATTTTTAAATTAGTTGTGACGTGTAGTTTTTTTATACTTGGTTCAGGGCACTAGTTGGACTTTTACACTCTATTCGAGGGTTATATTATTTCGTTTTCAGGTGAGTAGTTTCATGCTACGTATTTTTATAAATGTTCCCCTACCCTGAACTGTTGAAAAATTAAATTGTTGTTTCTAGACTAAACTGTTTTGATAAATTATTATATTATCAATTGAATCAAATTATTTCTGAAACATGTGTGGACTTGGCATATTGTAAACTATTTGTTTTGGTCTCATGTTTATAATGATGAACCACCATGTTTTGCGAAACTAATGTGTATTGATTATTGGGACCATGTGTGTATTTAGTCCAGGGAAATTATTCCACTGTGTGTGGTGACTCTGGCCACTAGGGAACAGACCCGGGTTGGGCTGTGATGACTCTAGTGCTCAACGATTGTAAGGAACAGACCTTTAAAAACAACTAGGTGACCTTCAATCGGATCGTCTTTGAGAAAAGGCCCAGGTGCCACCCTGAGGATGACTCTTAGTTCGGTATTGGATCCAACGGGGCTTATACCTTGAGAACTGTGTGGCAGATTATTTGTTTTTCTTGGTACCCAGAAAATTATTGGTGTTCATGTTATAATCTGTTTTAAGTGGAAAATTTCGTTTATTATGTTCTTGCGAGACATGAGTATTTTAAGTGTTGAACTGTGAAACCTTCTTTTTGAAACAGATTGTATTTACCAAACTATATGCCAATCTAGTTTCTGTGATATATATCTTATTTTGGAATTGAACCTTGTTTTCAAAACTATATTTACTATCCATGTTGCTACTCACTGAGCTATCAGCTGACTTAGTTGTTTACCATTTCCAGGTGTTAGAAGGACTTAGAGTGGACTCATGGCGTAGCGGGGACTCAATTGCATGGACCTCTAGGGCATTTATTTAATTTGTTTTAGGTTGCTTTGTCGAGTTTTGTGCATACATTGTGGTTGGGTTTTATTTTGAATTATTTTATTTTATGGGTGGTTTGTGTCCCATTTAGTAGATATATATGTTTAGGAAGTTGGTTATGACTTGTTTTTCACTTGTGGTATGTCACTAGATTGAGTGTTGATTTATTTATTTCTGGGCTATCATCACATTTATTCTTTATGGTTTTGGGTTCATGTTTAGGCTTACGTGTGCCTTGGGCTAAGTCCCTGTGGGCCACGGCCGGTCATGCCCGGATTTGGGGTGTGACAACAAAGTCATCCAGGTAGGGCTTAAAAGCTCCATATCTTGCATTTCATCATTTAGACGAGGTCCGAGTCCCTATAGTCCTTAGTAGTGTTTGGTTAAGTTAGTTTTGTTTAAGCTTGTGTTGAGCTTTTCTTAATTTCATTTTGAAGGTTAAGAGATGGCACCTAGGAGAAGAAGTGTCAATGCTCTTGGAACTGATCAACCAGCCGCTAATCGTAGAGTTCCCCCTGTTCCTATACCCCCTACCGCACCACTTGTTGCTCCAGTTGTCCCTGAAGCACCAGGAGTTGTTCCTGCTGCACCAGCCGCACAGGTTTTACAGTCATTGTTGGGATTACTGAACAGTCATGTAGCCCCACAACTAGCCGTTCACCCAACTTTAACTTTGGATAGAGGTTCCTTATTTGAGAGGTTTATGAAGGCAAAACCTCCAAAATTTCACGGAACAGTGGACCCTACAGAGGCAGAGGCATGGGTACTAGAGATGGAGAAAATATTTGATGTTCTAGGTTGTTCAGCAGACCAGAAGGTGGCCTTTGCAGCTTTTAGGTTCAAGGGTCAAGCAGAGCATTGGTGGCGCATGGTGAAGCGTCAATATGAGGGTAGAGAAACAGAGCTAGTGTGGAGCAAGTTTCTAGAATTGTTTAATGAGAAATACTTCCCTGAAGCGGTGCGAAGGCAGAAGCAAGTGGATTTTCTCAATTTGAAGCAAAATGACATGTCAGTGGCTCAGTATGAAGCCAAGTTTGTGGAGTTGTCGAGGTATGCCCCACATCAGGTGGCCATAGAGGAAGATAGAGTGATGTTGTTTGAGAATGGCTTGCGATCAGAGATCTATGCAAAAGTAGCTATTTTGGAGATGAAGACATATTCTGCATTGGTATGCAAGGCATTACTAGCTGAAAGGGGAGTAGAAGAGGAAAAGAGAGCTGAGGAACAAAAGGCTAAGGAACCACAAAACAAGAGACTTAGAGAGGAGAGACAAGTAGAGCATCGTGGTGGTGGTAGCAATCCTAGCAAGAAGCCTTCCACCCAAGGCCAGGTTAGCAATGGCATGAAGCAGCAGAATCGGAGGATTTGTGATAGATGTGGTAAATCACATTCTGTTGGGTATAATTGTGATGGCACAGCTCGAATATGCTTTAAGTGTGGCAAGCCTGGGCATCTGTCTGCACAATGTAGGTCTAAGGGACTGGGAGGTCAGTCAGTAGCACAGTCATCTCAAGGGCAAGGGCAAAGACGAACTTTTTATAGCGGTGGGTTTAACCACAAGCAGAATAATGGCAAAAGTGGGACTACCCAAGGGCAGACATCCGGGAATGGGGCTCAGGATAAGAAGTCAGCGGCTACCCAAGGACGTGTTTATGCTCTCACTAGAGAGGAGGTCGAGGTTGCTCCATCTGTGGTGCAAGGTACACTCCTCAGCGGCTACCCAAGGACGTGTTTACGCTCTCACTAGAGAGGAGGCTGAGGCTGCTCTATCTGTGGTGCAAGGTACACTCCTTATATCATCTGTACCTGCCAGAGTTTTAGTTGATTCAGGATCTACACATTCTTTTGCTGCACCTAAGTTTCTACATCATTTGTCTATTCATTGTGAGCCTTTGGATGTAGCTATTGCTGTGTCTACTCCATTAGGAGAAACAGTAGTGTTAGGAGATATTTGTAGATCTTGTGAGATAGAGATGGATGGTAGAGATTTTCCAGTGGATTTGATTTCTTTAGAGATGAAGGATTTTGACGTGATTTTGGAGATGGATTGGTTAACGAAGCATCATGCCTCTATTGATTGTTTTAGAAAGAGGGTAGTTTTTGCTATGCCAGGGCAACATGAGTTTTTCTTTCAGGGAGATGGAAAAGGGTCTTCTATTTGTTTTGTTTCTTCCCTTCAGGCTAACCGAATGTTGAGAAAAGGGTGTCGTGGTTATTTAGCTTGTGTGGTGAGTACTGAACAACCAGAGCAGAGGTTAGAGGACTTGCCTGTAGTGAGGGAATTTGTTGATGTTTTTCCAGAGGATCTACCTGGTCTTCCTCCAAACCGTGAGGTTGAATTTTCCATTGACTTGATCCCTAAAACAACACCTATCTCTAAAGCACCCTATAGAATGGCACCGTTGGAGTTGAGGGAGTTACAAACTCAGTTACAAGAGTTGTTAGACAGAGGTTTTATTAGGCCTAGTGTTTCACCTTGGGGAGCACCTGTGTTGTTTGTGAAGAAGAAGGATGGGTCTATGAGATTATGTATTGATTATAGAGAACTGAACAAAGTCACAGTGAAGAATAGGTATCCTTTGCCACGCATTGATGATCTATTTGACCAGTTGCAGGGAGCTCAAGTATTCTCTAAAATTGACTTGAGGTCAGGCTATCACCAGTTGAAGGTAAGGGATGAGGATGTTCCTAAGACTGCTTTTAGAACCCGTTACGGGCATTATGAGTTCTTGGTGATGCCTTTTGGTCTCACAAATGCACCAGCCGCATTTATGGATTTAATGAACAGAGTATTTAAGCCCCAACTGGATAAATTTGTGGTAGTATTTATTGATGACATCCTAATTTATTCGAGGAGTAAGGAGAAGCATGAGCAGCATTTGAGGGTAGTACTGCAGATCCTTAGGGAGAAGAGATTGTATGTAAAATTTAAGAAGTGTGAATTCTGGTTGAGCAGTGTATCCTTTTTGGGTCATGTAGTGAGTAAAGATGGGGTATCTGTGGATAGCACGAAGGTGACAGCAATTGTTGATTGGCCACGACCTACTTCTGTGACGGAGGTACGTAGCTTTCTAGGGCTTGCTGGGTATTACAGACGGTTTGTGGAAGGATTCTCCCGTATTGCTTTGCCACTTACCAATCTCACCAGGAAAGGGGTAAAGTTTGAGTGGAATGATGATTGTGAGCGTAGTTTCCAAGAGTTTAAACAGAGATTGACATCAGCTCCAATCCTTGCCTTACCTACAGATGGAGGTGGTTTTGTGATTTATAGTGATGCTTCACGACAGGGTTTAGGATGTGTGCTCATGCAACAGGGGAAGGTGATTGCTTATGCGTCACGGCAGTTGAAAATACATGAGAGAAACTATCCTACGCACGACTTAGAGTTAGCAGCAGTGATTTTTGCTCTTAAGATCTGGCGGCATTATTTGTATGGAGAGTCATGTGAGATTTACACTGATCATAAGAGTTTGAAGTATATTTTCACACAGAAGGAACTAAATTTGAGGCAAAGAAGATGGCTTGAGTTACTAAAAGATTTCGATGTAAATGTTTTGTATCATCCAGGGAAGGAAATGTAGTGGCGGATGCCTTGAGTAAGAAGGTCGCAATTGGAGATACAACTGCTTTGTGTATTAAGAGTTGTTTTGTGGAAGACATGAGACGTTTGAGGCTTGAGGTTGTTATGCCTGGTGATAGGGCTTATTATAGCTAATTGACAGTTTAGCCGACCTTGAGAGAACGGATTCGTTTAGCTCAAGAGATTGACCCCCAATTTGAGCGCATTAAAGGAGAGATGTCAGAGGGTAAGCATGTAGACTTTGTGGTTAGTGATGATGGGTTGCATAGATTCCATAGCCGAATTTGTGTTCCTGCTAGTGGTGATTTGAGGAAGGAAATTATGACGGAGGCACATAGTTCTAGTTACAGCATTCATCCTGGAAGCACTAAGATGTATCGGGATCTTCATGAACATTTTTGGTGGAATGGTATAAAGGGAGATATTGCAGAATTTGTGGCTCAGTGTTTGGTGTGTCAACAAGTTAAAGTAGAATATTAGAAACCTGCGGAGAAACTACAACCCTTAACTATACTAGAGTGAGCACATTTTATTGCAGTTCGGATGAACTATTCTCTAGCTCTATTTGCACAGTTGTATGTGAAGGAGATTGTTAGATTGCATGTGCACCTGTGTCAATAGTGTCAGACCGGGACCCTCGCTTTGTGTCTAAGTTTTGCGGTGCGTTACAATTAGCTATGGGTACTCGGTTAAATTTTAGTTCAGATTATCACCCTTAGATAGATGGCCAATCAGAGAGGACTATTCAAACCCTTGAAAAATATGTTGCGGGTTTGTTTGCCGTTCATGGAGTTTGCCTATAATAATAGTTATCATTCTAGTTTGGGAGTAGCTCCTTATGAGGCTTTGTATGGAAGGAAGTGTAGGTCTCCTTTGTATTGGTATGAGGTTGGTGAAAGACAAATGTTGGGACCTGATTTGGTGGAGGATGCTACACGGAAAATTATCACCATCAGAGAGAGATTATTGACAGCTCAGAGTAGACAAAAAAGTTATGCTGATCATCGTAGGAGAGACTTAGAGTTTCATGTGGGGGATATGGTATTCTTGATAGTATCACCATGGAAAGGAGTGATCAGGTTTGGAAAGAAAGAAAAGTTGAGTCCTAGATACATTGGTCCATTTGAGGTATTGGAGAAGGTTGGTAAGGTTGCGTACCGTGTTGCTCTACCCCCTAGGTTAGCAGGAGTGCATAATGTGTTTCACGTGTCTATGCTGAGGAAATATGTGCACAGTCCGTCGCATGTGATAGATTATGAGCCGCTTTAGATTAGAGAGGATTTTTTGTATGAGGAGATACCTGTTCAGATTTTCGATTCGAAAGAGAAAATGTTGCGTACAAAGTTCATTAAATTGGTTAAGGTACTGTGGCGCAATCATCTAGTTGAATAGGCGACTTGGGAACGCGAGGACGAGATGCGCGAGAAGTACCCACATCTATTCTTATGATTTAATCATGTTAGTTTCGAGGACGAAACTTTTCTTTTAGGGGAGGAGAATGTGAGAACCCGAATATACAAATAAAATAAATAATTAAATAATAATAATATTACAATCTCAAATATTTTGGTGGTGAATCTTAAAGAGCAAATTAAATATTTGGAAGGTCTTTTAATTAATTTTTAAACCTAAAATAAATTTGTGGTGAAAGCATTTAATTTAGAAGCAAGATTTATTATTAAAAAAAAATGGAGAAGATGGTGTAACTTGAACTCTAGACCACAAAATTAATAAGTTAGGCTCTTACTATTTGAATTGCATGTAACTTATATATGTATTTTGTATATTTATCTATCTATTTGACCTAAGTGTGCCCACTACTAGTATAAAATAAAATAAACACAAACCCTAACTCTTGTTATAATTGTTTTCCACAACACTAGCAGCCCTAGCAGCCGTGGGTTTATGAAGGAAAGAGAGGGGTTTTTCAATCATCAAGATTATTGTTTTAGCCAAGAAGGAGAGTTTTGGGTGTGTTGTGTTGTGTGGCCTCCTATGTTTTCTTCTCTTCTTTCTTTGTTCTTTATCCTAATAATATTGTTATTTAATTCATTCATGGAGGTTGTAGGTTTATATATTTTGTATATATATATACTGTTAAGAAATTTAAGGAATTAAATTCATGTATAAAGAATGGGTATTATTCTTAGTTAAAAAATTCTGCGCATAATCACGAACTTTAAAAATCAAGAAACCATATCAAACGGATGAATTTTAATCTGAAATTTTTACAGTAGATCAATTACATATTGAATTGCATATCTGATTTTTTTCATAATTTTTGGGAGTCGAAATCCATATAAATTGAGGTATTCAAATCTGTCCAGGAAACTAGTCCGAAACAGTAAATTCGGGAGTGTTATTCTCTTTGGGTATAAATCCAAAAATTATCAAATTAGTGTCATTAGAACCGGTTACAAGTCTAGTTTCGTACGTTTTTGGCCTTGCAGTGATTGCTCGTGTATATTAAGAGAACCGTTAATTTCTTTAAAGTGCTGCAGAAAACAACCTGTTTGGATATAATAAATTGTAGATAATTATTTTTGGTAAGAAAATCAAGTGAAACCAATTAAAAAACCCAACCTATCAAAATAAATCTTAAATGAGACTTCGATTAAGATAAATATAAAATATGCACAAATTTGACATAACACTCTAAACTAAGGTAATAGCCCTAGAAAAGGTCCATGGCATTGAGTCCCGCGTTGGGTTAGTGGCCATGGTGTCCTCTTGTGAGCTCCGTTTGTGGGAACTAAACACCGTGGAAATGTAAACACAACTAAGTCAGCTGATATAGACTCAAAGTCGAGTTTTTAAGGACATGGGGGTATAAGTAAAGGTACAGTTATTGAAACAGGAGTGTGTTCTTCTAAATTTCCTAGAGAAGTTAAAAGATATATATCACAGAAACTAGATTGCATCAGATTTGGTGAGAATATCAATCTGGTTTGTCGAAGAAAGAGTGGTTACCACAAGTTTGGCGTTGCAACACTTAAACAGTACGTGCATGTCTCGGCAAGAAACATGTAACAACAAACATTTTCCATTAAACAGATATTATAACAAGTGGAACGCGAGCCCAATTTAATTTTCTTGGTGGGCGCCTGGGGGAAGTACCAATAAAAAACAATAATCTACCATTGCATCATTCTCAGGCCTATTAGCCCCGTGGATTCCATAGTATCTAGAATAACAAGAGTCAAATTTTCCTTCTCGCATTTCCTTTAGGTGAAGCACCTGGGCCTGTTTCTCAAAGAACGATCCGAAAAAACCATTTTTTTGAAGAGTACAGCTAGTCTGTTTTGTTAAATTGTTGTTTTTAGGTTCTGTCCTTTACAATCGTTTGAGCTTTACTTTTTAGACTGCTCCATCCACGGCGCCCAAATCCGGAGTCTGGTTTCCCTTAAGTGGCCAGATTAGTTCACCACCACAGCAGGTGGGGAGATAGATTTCCGCTGGACATAAATGTACACAACATAAGGTCCCAATAATTCAAGTACACATCAGAGTTTACGTGATCTCTAACATAACATTGGTAGTTCAATCGATTATAAACATGGGTGAGACCAAAAGCCAATAGTTTACAGGTATTGCCAAGTGTCACGACACTGTTTCGGAGAAGATAATTGGTGGATTCAATTGATGGGAATTAATAAGGGAATAATATTATCGAAATAGTATGTAATGGGCGCGACTCGGGAACCACAATACAAGGATTTTAATTTTTGGTCCAAACAGTGGTTCAGGGGGCGTAGGGGGAACCATATATTAATAAGGAAAAGCTGTAGGTCTGAAGAACTACTCACCGTTGAAATTCGCAAAATGATATCTCGTAATAGAGTGTAAAATGTCCAACTAGTGGCTCCGTAACCAGGCTTTATCAAAAACTACGCAGTCACAAAACGTGGGAGAGTTTTAAAAGTCCATAAATTAAAAAATATGTGAATCTTAAGTATCGTTCAGGAACTAACGTGCTACTAACATACTGGCTCATACCCGTATAAGATCAACCAGTAATGACTCTGGCATAAAATATTACCTTAGTTATTGTTCTACATAGTCTTCAAGGTCCTAAATCCACCCACAAAGGACAATTCAGATTTTCTTGATGCGAAACTTTTAACATAAACAATCACTACTTTAAAGAGAACAAGTGTTTTTAAATCAAGTTTTCCCAATCTTATTGCTCTGCTAGGTAGCGGGTTTGTGGAAAATTGGGCTATTAAATGTCCCCATCACGTCTATTATTCGAAAAATCCAATAGTACTCTTCGTCATTTCACGATATGAATCTAATAGGTGGATTCCTAAGTTTCTCTCAAACCCATTTTAGGTTG